AAAAAAACTAAAAATTTTGCTAGCCAATGCTGATTCTATTGCCAAGATTAAAAGGATCCAAGGATAAAGCAGTTATCAAATGTTACCATATATGATTGTGAACTTTCACAAATCAGGCTTCATTTTAAACAAATTGGTTTGCATTAACCCTGACCTAGTTTCAGTTTTCTAAATATTCAACTCTTGGAGCTATGTGCATTATACAAAAGTTGTGCTGGAAAATAAATAAGTAAAATAAAACTGTGAGAGCAGTCTTAGGATAAGAATCAGGCCATACCCAGCATCAGAGCAGCTGTGGGGATTTCACTGGCTCTCTGTCTCCAGACATCAGATGAGCAGCCGAGGCCATGCTTTTTAATGAACTCTGCAAGACTGTCAAGTACCTTTTTATTCAACTGATCTTGTATTGCCTGTGAAAAAATATATTTATAAAGGGGAAAAAAAACGTATTAACCCATTTGTGCCCAAATGTTTCTGAATGTTTCATGCATATAATCGTATTAATAGTGTCCTATGTGAACATGTTCTGCATTTATTTTTCCCAGGTTTTAGTTTTTTTTCTTGAAAATCGTATTTGAATGCCGGTGGTCAAATATGTTGTATGCACCACTTCAATGTCAAATTTGAATAGGAGGAGAGCATTTGGCATCTAACTCAAAATAACTGCTTTCAACAGATCAAACTTTATTAAACAAATTTATAATAAACAAATTTATTACGCATAAAAGGTCAAAGAACATTCGATGCAAACCCCAAAAACGTTACATCTAGCTTATAATCTCTTGAATATGATGACAACAAATCCATTTGTCTTAAAGTGGTGGAACATAGTGCAGAACAAAGTGCAACCATTAAGTTGCCCCAACAGGGTATTGTGTATCAAAAAGTTAAATGAAAATAAATAGAATGACGAAAATATTACATTTATAAAATAAAAAAGGTATACCTGAAAGAAAATTATGCATTTAACTAACATTCTGCAAAAAATCTTCTTTTGTGCTCAACAGAAGGAAGAATCTCATAGGTTTGCAACTTGAAGATGACACAATTTCCATTTTTGGGTGAACTTTCTCTTACGTAAGCAGTTTTAGTATAAGTACAGCTGCATCTCAAATTAGAATGTCATGGAAAAGTTCATTTATTTCAGTAATTCAACTCAAATTGTGAAACTTGTGTATTAAATAAATTCAATGCACACAGACTGAAGTAGTTTAAGTCTTTGGTTCTTTTAATTGTGATGATTTTGGCTCACATTTAACAAAAACCCACCAATTCAATATCTCAACAAATTAGAATATGGTGACATGCCAATCAGCTAATCAACTCAAAACACCTGCAAAGGTTTCCTGAGCCTTCAAAATGGTCTCTCAGTTTGGTCCACTAGGCTACACAATCATGGGGAAGACTGCTGATCAGACAGTTGTCCAGAAGACAATCATTGACACCCTTCACAAGGAGGGTAAGCCACAAACATTAATTGCCAAAGAAGCTGGCTGTTCACAGAGAGGAGTAATGCAGTGACGGTACAAGCAGTTTTATAAATTTACATAAACATATTTGCATACTATACTTTATGTAAAATATCACATATTTTATGAATAGGCACATATTGATTAGGTCAAATGGATTAACCCTGACAAAAGTCCTAAAAATGGATAGCATCTAGAAAAATACAAAGGAAAATGACAACTATAAACTGGTTAATAGACGAACATATTAATGGGTCAGATAAAGAGGTTGCAGACGCAGAGAAGGATGTAACCTTACCTCCGTGTTCATTTGAACAGTTCCCCATAATTTCTGACAGATCCTAAAGCGATCGCTGCCGTTATCGTCACTATCATCCACCAAATATCCACCTACACGCCAATAAATAAAACGAAAAGGCTTGATAATGGAGCTAAGTAACGTTATTTGTAAAGTGATAATAATGATTACAATTACTCACCAACTCCTACATGTCGCTTTCTCTTTTTAGAGGCTGACTTAAAAACAAAACATCCCTGAAAAACAGAATCTAGAAGTCTGGATATGTATCATTATGTGTATAGGCTATATGTATCATAATATCATTACTCTAAACAAATTACTTCAGCCACGTAAGGATTAATGAATGACTGTCTGCTCAATGTTACCTTTGACACTGATGAAGTTAGAGGACTTTCGCTCATTTCTGTCCTTCAAAAACAAAAATCAGTAGCGAGCAAACTTCCATAAGACAGTACACCACGCGTTTATTTTGCCGCTTTTCTTCTTCTTCTTCTTCTTCTTCTTTGGAATTTTTGGCGTATTCCGCACCGTAGGCACATACCGCCACCAACTGTTTACATACATGGATGACAGTCCCGTCTCTATTCATTTTTGCCGCTTTTTTCTTCTTCTTAATATTTTATGGCACAACTTTCAGGTGCATTAGCGCCACCTGCTGTGCAGTAGTGTGGGTCAAGCTCGTACAACCTTATTCATATTAGCTCCTTAATTCTTATTTCTGTATTTAACTGTCTTTTTCAGATACTGCATTAAAAATGTTAATCATTCATCATGTGAACTCCTTTGTGAAATGTTTGTCAATTCAGTTTTTAAAGCTGGAAATCAATCATTTTCTTCAAGTGCTCTATGGTTTCGTCTTGATTACAATTGTCAAATGTTCCTGTCTTACGTCTCCCTATTTTATTCGAGGTATTATTAAGTGCAGTATGTCAAAATCTAAGTTTATTTTAAAAAAAATTATATTTCTCCTTGTTATTCTACCTTTACAAACATTTCTTTATAAAACCATCATCTTCCTTCACATTGAATTAAAAACGGCGTCGTATCGACTGTATCCTGTATGTTGTCTGAAGGATCTCAATCAGCACATCAGCTCTGCTTTCTGTACCTGTTTCTAATGGCATTAAAGATGAACTTGAGTCAGAACATGTTCTCATTGGTCTATTCTCCTCAACCCACTGTAATGCCATTGGGATTGCAATCAATTCTCCAGTGTCCTGATAGAGATGATCTGAAATTCTTGAACTGATTTTGACATTAAAATATGGTCCTGTGAATGCCACACCTACTACTGCATCTTAATATATACAAACATAACTAATGTTTTGAATTTCTCATGAACAGTCTCATGTGGGTTGTGGTATTAACTATTGGTGAATTACTGACCATGGTAATCCGTGTATCATTCGATCATTCGTTTTTTGATTTAATATTGAAAGTAGAAAAATTAGAAAACTGATCCTTTTTCGTTTTTTTGTTTTTTTTCTTCCAAAAAACGAAAAACGAGAATTCAGCTTAAATTTTCGTTTTTCGTTCGTGGGTGGAAAAATTAATAAACAGTTTGAATATTTGATTTCTACATGTGGGCGGGAATTAAACGCCCCTTTCTGCTGATTGGTCAACTGAAGATCAAACCCTGCCTCCTTCAGTTCTTCTGCAGTATCACACAGCAGAATAATAGTCCTCTGCTGCTGCAGTTGTACGGATGATCGAATGATACACGGATTATGGTACTGCTGGAATATTCATTTATTTCCATTTATTTTGGGTACTTTTGTTTTTGCATCTTTTCTTTCTCTCAGCATTGTTTTATGACTTTTGGATGATCTTGATTATGTCCTGACCGAGTAATTTATGGCATCTGCATTCTAAGGGCATTTCTCCTGTTACATCTGCAGTTGGGATCGAATTCTAGCCCCTGTTAATAACCTAATGCTTTTTGTTGAACTGAAATACTATACATCCATAATCAAGTGTTAATAGTATTAGCTCATTATAGTTCATATATTCAGAGCCGACCTCTCAGCTCACCTCTCGGTCCTTGCAAGCAACTCACTGAATTCAGTACTTGTATGCGTTTACCAATAATTTTCTCAATGTGTATTTTTCTAGTCAAACTACAAACATATAAACGTACTCTCTTGACCATGTAATTTCAGTTTTAGCTCTTTCTTAATCTTCTCTTTTGAGAAGAATTGTTTTATCACATGAAAACAAATCACTTCTTTAAATCTGTGTGTGAGCCTTGTGATGTACTGGCCAACCAACAAGGACAAAGTCTACAACTTTAAAGGCTTTTTCAATAAGACTTGCTTTAAAATTTCAGAACAAAATAAAGTTCAAGTGACTGCAATTAACCTCACAGAACCAGGCTAATATTCAACATCCCACTTTATTGGTCAATTTTCTTCAACAAGGCTAATCAACAGAACAAAATCAAGTTCAAAACTAAGAACAAAATGAAATATATTTGGTTTGATATTCTTGAAATGCAACGTATAATTACAGTAAAATAATAGCTACCTGAGCCATTGGCTCGAAATGACTTTTGGCTCAAATTACCCCACCCCTACCATTTTCACAAACTTGTATCATCAAGCAGTTTCTATTAAAATTGGATAATGGTCACTTTCGTATCGTGCTTTCTTTCTCTTTCTTTTACAGATTCAGGAACAACTGTGATATACTGTTGTCTCTTTCTCATTTGTAACACTTATTCTAGTACCATCTCCATTGTTAACACATAGCTACTAGATATTTCTATCGATTAATTCTTCTATAACTTCTCCATTCATATCATCATAATTATCCCATGATGTATTTTGACCAATAAAATCTCCACAATCAAACAACCATACAATCTAAGGGTATTAACAGATCCTCCAAAAATAGTTTCTTGCACGGATTATAATAATTTGTTATTTTAATATTACCTTTAATTGTCCAAATGTCTGTTATGATCAATTCCAGTTCTTTTCTTTTGACCTTTACCTTGTAATGTATATTCTGTTTAATAAATGTAACACATCCTTTTCTCCCTTATATTTATATTTATTTCCATTTCTATTCTGTTAATCTCTATCTTTATATTTATATTACCATTCTGCCAATCCTTGTGAACTCCTAAATAGTATTTTGTTCTTTTCAAAACAATGGCAGTAAAGATCTATTATATCCTATAGTCCCCCCATGACCATTGTTCTGTATCGGATACAATCATAGCCTGTTATTATAAAGTTTTATAATGGTTTCAAACGAATTTCCTGAATGCAGATGATACCTTTAATAAACGAATTAGAAAAGCTGATATTTTAAGTATTATGGCATTAAAGACACATTACAGTAATTAAATTTTTTATAAAGAAAAATACTGTACTATTTATAGAGTATAGAGTATTTTTCTGTTTTCTCAAATTACATAAAAGTGTATGTAAAATTACAAAAATAATGGCGAAAATAATTTGCTTTTGTTCTTTTCAAAACAATGGCAGTAAAGATCTATTATATCCTATAGTCCCCCCATGACCATTGTTCTGTATCGGATACAATTATAAAGTTTTATAATGGTTTCAAACGAATTTCCTGAATGCAGATGATACCTTTAATAAACGAATTAGAAAAGCTGATATTTTAAGTATTAAGGCATTAAAGACACATTACAGTAATTACATTTTTTATAAAGAAAAATACTGTACTATTTATAGAGTATAGAGTATTTTTCTGTTTTCTCAAATTACATAAAAGTGTATGTAAAATTACAAAAATAATGGCGAAAATAATTTGTGAAATCACCACCAGATGGTGCAGATGGCACCATTGCTCACACTGTAAAACAAAACAAACAAGCAAACAAACAAACAAACAGAAAATTGTTAAAAAAACACAAACAGTAAAATTTAAATAAAATTATTATTTTATTACAGTTATTTTAGGTATTTCCTATATTACTGCAATCAAACATCTTCACTTTAAAATAATAATAATAATAATAATAATAATAATAAACAGTCAAATGACTGGCAGCAACGGCTCCCAAACAAAAACGGTAAAATTGAAGTAAAATATCCTATTTTAAATAGTGTAAAAACTTTTACAGTAATTTGCATTAAATATTTAACAGAAAAACACTGTTATTTTACAAGCATTTCTTGAATTATTATGATCAAACACCTTCACTGTAAAGTAAAAAAACACCCTGTCAAAACATTTTCTACATACTAACATACTAAGTCTTTCAAAATATCACAGCACTTCAGTACTCCAGTGTGAAATGACTAATTACCACCAAACTGTTCAATCAGAAATCAGACTCTGGGTGGTATCAGTTAATCAGGCCACGATGACCACATAATCACCAACAAGTAGCAAATATCACCCAATCAAAGTTTTTTTTTTTTCTTCTAAATACTAATGTTAGAAAGTTAAGGGTCAAGGGCCCAACTAAAGCAAACGCTGACCTCCATCATGGTTAACTTTATTATTTTTAAATAAAACTTCAATATTTAAACCTCTGTTAATTCTGTATGTATTTTAGTAATAAGTGAAGCTGGTAATGCTGTTTAATCATTCTGTGCTAGATCTTGAGAGATCCGTATTTAATGTGTGTTTAATGTTTTGTTGGGATTTAAAGGGTTTCTGTTTCTGTTGCCTTAGTTTTGTGGATTACTGTTGTGCTGAAGAGTAGAGTCTGTTCTTCAATCCAGGACGGACTGAAATGCACTGATGTTATGTTGCATGTCGCTTTATTTAGCCACTACTAATGATGTCTATACATTAGCTCACTCATGGGTGTATTCACACCAGGAAAGTCCACTAGTTCACTTGCCTTGGGCCGGACCAAATACAATGTTTTTTTTTTGTTTGTTTGGTGCGGTTTGCTTTCACATTGCCCTTTTTGCAAGTGAACCAGAAACTGTAAACAAAACCACACGTGTGCTTAAGGTCATCCATTCATTGGTTTATCCATTCAACTGTACCAGAGTTCGTTTGGAAGTGGACCGAGACCACCTCTTCAGCTGGGTCTCGGTACGGTTGTTTGGTCCGTACCCGAGTGCGATTGCTGTATTCACACCTGCCCAAAAGATCCGCACCAAGGGGGGAAACGAACTTGAGTTCGATTCAATCGAACCAAACAAGACAGGTGTGAATATACCCTTATTGCTTACATTTTATGTTCAGCAGCTGTCGCTTTTTTATCTTTTTATTTTACAGTGAAGGTGTTTGATAATGTTTTTCTGTAAAACATTTAATGAACATTTCAGTCTTTTTGCATATATTTCCAATAACTAACGCTTTATTCCTTTGTGAAGGAAACAATGACAAAATGTAGAAAAGAGGAACAAAGTATTTTTGAAACCAAGGATTTAGAATGTCCTATTTCACCCATTTATGTTTTTTTTTTTTTATGCAATTGGACTATGTGTTCACACTCCTTCCTAAACACAGCGATGATTTTAAATTCGTCCCCTTTTTCCAAACCGTTTGTTCATTTTCTTCAGAACTACTTTCCTCCAAGCTCTTTTTTATATTTATAATAATCCT